GTGAGGAGACCTTGAATGACGGTCATAAAGCATCTGTTCTGGTCTGGGGCGGTGAGGTTGTGGGACGCTCCCTGCTCACTTTATGAATATTTAACTCTCCTTTGGACAGGAGGTGTGTCTGACAGCCCAGGATCTCCTCATTCTTAAAACAAACAGCACACAAGTAACATTATGCAGACTGAGCAAGTTATATTTATATGCTCAGAAACACACACACACACAAAGAAAAGGTGGCCACAAATTTGAGAAAGAGCAAAGGGCACATTTGGGAAAGGTTGGGGAGAGGAAAGAAAAGCGGCAAATGATGTAATTATATTGTGAACTCAAAAATTATAATAAACAAAACCAAAACAACTCCATTTCAGTTCATCTCTATTCCACCCCCCAATTTTCCTTCTGGAAATGCAGAAAAAGTCAGCGGCCTGCTAGGACAAGGACTCTGGCGGTCAAGCCCCGAACACTCTTGACTTCTCTGGGTCTTGGGTTTTTCATCTGGTTAAGGCACTTGCTTTCCCCCCTTCCCCCAATTTAGCTTTTTATTGATTCTTTTTTTTTCTGGTATTTTGAGACAGGGTTTCTCTGTAGCTTTGCAGCCTGTCCTGGAACTAGCTCTTGTAGACCAGGCTGGCCTCGAACTCCCAGAGATCCACCTGCCTCTGCCACCCAAGTTTTGGGATTAAAGGTATACACTACCACTGCCCGGCACTTTTTATTGATTCTTTGTGGATTTCACAGTATGCACCTTAATCTCATTCATCTCTCTACCCCTTCACATCTGCCTTCTGCCTTTGCAACCTCCTCCAAGATCAAACAAAACAAAATTTAAAGGAAAAGAAAGAAGGAAGGAAAGAAAAATCTCATTGTAGCAGCTGCAGTGTGACATAGTGAACCACACACTAAACCCTTTAGTCCACATGCCATTACTTACACGTGTTCATTAAAACAAGTCTGGTTCGAGGCCTCTGGTATCTGCTGTACTATCAATACTGGGTCCTCACCGGGGCTCCTCCTGGCTATCCTGTCGTTTGTCCTGTGTCACGGAGATCCTGCACCTTTGGACCTGCAGGACCAGTCCCTTCATGAGCTCCAGCAGATCACAGATGGGGTGGATGTTGGGGTGGGCCAACTCAAAGCCCTATTTCTGGACCTGGGTGGTTGCTGGGTTGATCAGACTGACAGCTCTCCTTCATCCTCACCAGCAGGGTGAGCTCTCCAGCACTGCCCCAGTGAGCTCACCCTGTGCAGTAAGCAGCAAGGGGCAAGGCCAGTTCTGCTCGCATGCCCTCTGCGCCCTCTAGCCCACGCCTGCACCACCAGAATCAGCTCTACCGTGTTGCCCAGGTGAGGAAGCACCTGCTTTTAAATCTGATGACTGAATTCAGTCCTTGAGAGATCAGACTTCCGTGAGTTGTCCTGTGACCTTCACATGTGGACAATGATGTACACATTGTCCTCCGTAATAAATAAACAAACGTAGTAAAATGTTAATGCAAAATAAAAAGAAGAAACTACAGATATCATCATTATCTTTGGGACACGAGTCTTCACTGAGGCCCCTTTCCTCCCTCAGAAGATTCCAGGCCACATCAAACCATGTGAAGAGCATCTGCTGGGGGAATCTGGCAGTCGTTACCTTTGATTATCTGAGCACCACACCCCATGAAGCAAGTGACATCCTCCTGACTGTCCGGTGACCTCCTGGTTCACTTCCACACCTCCAGCCTTTCTTTGCTAATCCCTAGCTTTCTATTTCTCAGCAAAGCCTTCCTCCATCCCGTACTTCAGCAATCCCGTGCCTTCTCTTTCCACGGCGCATTGCTGCTATACACCCAAGCCAGTCTTTTGATACTTGTGAGTTATTTGTATAGTAAGTTCATAGAGGCTGTCCTTGCGCCTCTCTTGCAGGGGGCAAGCGAAGCACATCTTGACTGCTACTGGTGTTTAAAAAGGCACACCTGATTCAATGCAATGCCCATCAGAATCCCAGCAAAATTCTTCAAAGACCTCGAAAGAACGGTACTCAACTTCATTTTGGAAAAGCAAAAAACCCAGGATAGCCAAAACAATCTTGTACAATAAAGGAACTTCTGGAGGCATCACAATCCCTGACTTTAAACTCTACTACAGAGCTACAGTACTGAAAACAGCCTGGTATTGGCATAAGAACAGACAGGAGAACCAATGGAACAGAATAGAAGACCCGGATATCAATCCACACATCTTCAAACACCATATCTTTGATAAAGAAGCAAAAAATATCAAGTGGTAAAAAGAAAGCATATTTAACAAGCGGTGCTGGCATAACTGGATATCAACATGTAGAAAAATAAAAATAGACCCATATCTATCACCATGCACAAAACTCAAGTCCAAATGAATCAAAGACCTCAACATAAAGCCAGCCACACTGAACCTTATAGAAGAAAAAGTGGGCAGTACACTTGAACACATTGGTACAGGGAACCACTTTCTAAATATAACCCCAGCAGCACAAACACTGAGAGAAACAATTAATAAATGGGACCTCCTGAAACTGAAAAGCTTCTGTAAAGCAAAGGACACAGTCAACAAGACAAAACAACAGCCTACAGAATGGGAAAAGATCTTCACTAACCCCACATAAGACAGAGGTCTGATCTCCAGAATATATAAAGAACTCAAGAAATTGGACACCAAAAGATCACATAATCCAATTTAAAAAATGGAGTACAGACCTAAACAGAGAACTCTCAACAGAGGAATCTAAAATGGCTGAAAGACACTTAAGGAAATGTTCAGCATCCTTAGTCATCAGAGAAATGCAAATCAAAACAACTCTGAGATTTCATCTTACACCTGTAAGAATGGCCAACATCAAAACCACTAATGACAACTTATGCTGGAGAGATTGTGAGGTAAAGGGAACACTCCTGCATTGCTGGTGAGAGTGCAAACTGGTACAACCCCTTTGGATGTCAGTGTGGTGATTTCTCAGAAAATTAGGAAACAGCCTTCCTCAAGACCCAGTAATACACTTTTGGGTATATATCCAAAGGATGCTCAATCGTGCCACAAGGACATGTGCTCAACTATGTTCATAGCAGCATTGTTTGTCATAGACAGAACCTGGGAACAACCTAAATGCCCCTCAACCGAAGAATGGATAAGGAAAATGTGGTACATTTACACAGTGGAGCAGAAAAAAAAAATAACTACAGCTTGAATTTTGTGGGAAAATGGATGGAGCTAGAAAACATTATTTTGAGTGAGGTAACCCAGACAAAGAAAGACAATTATCACATGGACTCACTCATATGTGGTTTTTAAACATAAAGCAAAGAAAGCCAACCTACAAACCACAACCCGAGAGAACTTAGATAACAATATGGACACTAAGATTTACATAGATCTAATCTTCATGGGAAGTAAAAAGTAGAAAAAGACAAAATCTCCTGAGTATATTGGGAGTATGGGGACCTTGGGGGAGGATTGAAGGGAGGAGGGGAGAGGCAGGGAGGGGAGCAGAGAAAAATGTAGAGCTTAATAAATATCAAAAAAAAAAAAAAAAAAAGGCACACCTGTCCCATTGACTGTAGTGTTCATTTATTCCACAAGGTGGCAGCAAATCCCTCTTGTCACGGCCCATTTCCATAAGTGCTTGGCTACCAGGCTGCCAGGGTGGGACCAGAGGCTCCGTTAGCTCCAGAAAACGCCAGGGAAGTCAGGTCAAGTATAGAATTCTTTTCCACCTGAGTTGCGGATTCCCTCCCCCCATGTAAGCCTCGTTTGGTTGGTTGGTTATATGTGACTGTACACATTATAGTCTACCTGTGGAGGTCAGAAGACAACTTGCAAGAATCAGTTCTCTCCTACCATGCCGGTCACAGGGTCATCAGGTTTGGTGGCAAGTGCCCTTACCTGATGAACCATTTCACCTGCCGCTTCTGTTTGTTTATGACTGGGTCTCTAGCCCGGGTTGGCCTCAAACTTCTTCTGTAGTTGAAGATGACCCAGAATTTCTGATCCTTCTGCCTCCACGCCCCAGATGCTGGTTTATAGGTGTGTAGCACCATGCCTGGTTTATGCAAGTCTGGGAATTGAATCCAGGGTTTCAGGCCAAACTACCAACAGAGCCTCATCTCCAGCTCTGTGTTATATGCCTATGTGTGTATACGAATGTGCAGGTATGTGGAGGGGGACTTGCCTTAATGCTTTTTGCCTGATTTTTTTTATTATTATTATTATTTTGAGACATCATCTCTCACTGAACCTACAGGGTTTGCTTTAATAAACAATGTAGCAGTCGTACTATTGTTTCTAACCTGGCCCTAAAGACACAATAGGACCGCTACATTGTTTATTGAAGCAAGTCGTGAAGGCTGGTCATACTGAGGGAAATAGATTCCACCAATGGGAAAAAGGTCAGGTGAGGGAAGCTGAGTAGAACAGAGATCGCTGCCCACTCCCAGGCATGTCCAAACCACAGCTCCTAAACAGATTAGAGGCCATGTTTAAACACATTACAGGGCACCAGGCAGTCAGAATGGGTCTCAAGCCCTGACTACTACCGTCTTCTACCTTGAGATGATAGAGGGGGTGGTTGGTGGGAGAGGAGAGGTACCAATGCAACTGAGGATGACCCTGCATTGATCATCCTGCCTCCGCCTCCTGGGTGCTGGGATTACAGCACACTACCATGCTTGGCTTATGTAGGGCTGGGGGTGTAACCCAGGGCCCTATGCTAGGCAAGCATTCTGCCAGCTGAACTACAGCCTCAGCTTCCCCCGCCTTCCTGAGTTATGACCTTACTAATGGGAATGATCACTGGCACAGCTACTTCACAAGGCCACGAGTAGACATGTAACCTGCCCACAGAGCACCCACTTGTGGGTGCCTCACACAGTTCTGAAGGTATCCTTGCCAGTATCCCAGGCCCTGATCCTATGAGGGCCCCTTCCCCAAAACGGGTCCTCATCCCCCAGCCCAGAATCTGACCCAGTATCAAAAACCTCCACAGTCACTTTGGCAACAGTATCTTTATTCAGTTAAAATGGACAGACTGTGACAAACCCAAGCCAGGCCAAAGAGGTGGTCAGTCCCGTCTCCCCACAGCCCCTCTGACCAAAGGAGAATAGGGCGGAGGGCACTGTCTCAGAGTGGGAGGAGCCCTGGAATCCACCTACCATTTGGGAGAAGGGACAAACTGCCCTTCCCAAGTTCACTTGGACAAGACTCTAGTTTTCTAATAAAACGCCACAAATTCTACCTTTCTCAGCTAATTATCTAAAGTTCAGGGTGGGCAGTCCCTAGAGGATTTGGGGTCTAGGATAGAACTTTATGTTCTAACCTCATTTTTAAGGAATATATTTATCCCCCCTTTTTCTCTTTAAAAAAAGTTTTCCTTCTGCTATTTAAAAAAATGTTTCTGAGTGTAACCAAAAATAGGTATTTCTTTCTTTCTTCTTTTTCACCTAAGTAGTTCAAAGAACAACACAACAGAAAAGAGAAATAAAACGTAAACACACCTCATACAAAAATAACTCCTGGCCACCCCTGCTGACTGGGTAGGTCAGGTTACCTGGGTCCCCTAATACAGAAAGCTGGGGTGCCTCTGTTGGGGTGTACCCACTCCAAGTAATGCAGTACATTCTAGGGACTGGGCCCCGTGTCTGGGCAGGACAGGAGACAGCCTCCAGGTTATGTCCTACCTTCCCCAGTCCCGGGCAGGGAGGGATTAGAGGGATCCCGGTGGCCAGCGGGTTGTCTGAGAAGATCAGAACAGGGGTGGACAGGCACGGGAGATGGGGGACAGGTTTGGTATGCCGGGAGGTGACCAGTTTGGGACAACAATTTACACTTCAAGGAACAACCTTCCTCTTGTTTTGGCTTGTTTCACATTTTCTCTCTGGCCAATTTCATCTCTATTTCTGTAAACCCCATGGTTACTTAGCCACAGACTCCTCTGTTGGGGCAGAGGTGGGCAAGGCTGGGGGAGAGGGAGGCGTAGGAGAGCCCAGTGACAACACAGGCCCACACCAAGGGCCTTGAGGCTTGAGGTAGACGGTTTCTTTCACACTTAGAGTTGGGATAGTGTTGTTTTTTGTTTTGTTTTGTTTTTTTCTTTGTTTTTTTTTGTATTTTTTTCTCCTTTTTCTTTTACTCAGGGCAAGAATATGGGGTGGGAGGGGTACCCAAAAGGGAGCTTGAGGTAGGAGTGCATTCGGGCTCTGTGGGGCAGGGGGCTGAGGCTATTGCCCCGCTACTCCCAAGGACATTCATTCCGGCTGAGGTAGGTGCTGAGAGTCAAAACAGCTAAAATCCATCCTGAGAAAACAAGATTGGTTCGGGGCAAGGGCATCAGGGGCCACGCCACAGCAGGGACACATTGTTTGGAGCACAATTCACTTCCTCTCTCTCTTCTTTCCCTCTCTTTTTTGACTTTCAAATTTTGATTTTTAAAGGAAAACTTTGTTTTGTTAGAAGTCTGGTGGGTAGCAGGCATTGGTGAGGGGACATTAGCTCTAGCAGGGGAGATGCCTTCCTGTAGGACCCACTGGCTCCTGTGGTTTGAGAACCCTGCCCTTCAGTTAAACTAGAAGCACTGGCGAGCTCCTAGAACCATTCAAGTCCCATGGAGCAGGAAGAAACCTCGCCTTCAACCTGAGAATGGGGCACTGCCCCTCCGGAACACATCAAACGCTGGCTCACAGGGAAGCCGGGACTGCTGGAGGCTGGGCATCCTGTCCTTCACTGAGGAGGCCAATATCCTGGGGTTCTGGGGCAGGCCCAGGCCCTGCAAAGGGGGACTTGGCCTCTGCTGTCCTTCCTGCCACAAGGTTGAAGCCTTGAAGCTGCACCATGGAGATCTGAGTCTCCCCACACGGAGCAGGGGCTGCAGGATCCTGAGGAAGGAAGGGTTGGGTATGGATGTCAATATCAGAGCTAGAGGTAAGGGTCGGTCTCCATCCCACCCCGGGGCGTGGGCCAGCAGTTGTGTCTAAACTTTTCATTGTCCATTGTCATCAAAACGATCATGCTGAAGACCATTCAGCCAAGTCACACAAAAAATATAGATTCTTTCTTTCTGACTGGGCAGTGGTAGCGCATGCCTTTATTTCCAGAAGTTGGGAGGCAGAAGTAGGTAGATCTCTCTGAGTCTGGTTCTGGGCTGCACAAAGAAACCCTGTCTTGGAAAGAAAAAAAAAAATCCCCAAATCCTTTCTCTTTTCTCTTTGAGATAAAGTCTCATTCTGTAATCCTGGATGGCCTAAAACTAGCTCTTGTAGACCAGGATAGCCTAGAACTCACAGATCCACCTGCCTCTGCCTCCTGAGTTCTGGGATTAAAGATGTGGACCACCAAGGTTATAATCATAATTTAAAAAGAGAGAGAGAGAGAGAGAGAGTATCATGTAGCTCAGGTTGACTCTCTGTGTAGCCAAGGCTAATCCTGGAATTCTGATCCTCATGTACTGTTGGTATACACCACCATACCCAGTGCATCCTGGTTTTTTTTTTTTTTTTTTTGATTGTTGCTTGGTTTTTGTCTGTTTGTTTTTTGTTTCTTCAAGACAGGTTTTCTCTGCATAACCCTGGCTGTCCTGGAACTCACTCTGAAGACCAGGCTGGTCTCTAGCTCACAGAGATCCACCTGCCTCAGCCTCCTGAGTGGTGGGATTAAAGGTGTGTGCTGCCAGGCCCAGCCACTGTTTTAAGTAAATTTACGATTGTGTTGGGCCACATTCATAGCTGTTCGTGCCAAATGCAGAAGCGTGTGGACTGCAGGCTGCAGGCCGGGTGTGCCTGGCCATGCCTAGGCTTCCCAGACTGACTCAGGAGACCCAGGGAGCAGCCCTGACGGGAATTAGGTGCCCCAGGAAGAGATGAAGTGAGGGGCAGCACAGGGGAGTCAGAGACTGAGGGAGTGGGTGGGGCACGGGCACTCACTGTGGGCCTGGAGCCTGGCTGCCCAGCTGGCCCAGCCGCGGGGAACAACTGCTCCAACTCCTTGGCATCCATATGCTTCTCATCGTGGCCGAGGTGGCCCCCCTCTCCTCGGCTCACGCCATTCAGGGACAGGATACCAGGGTCCCTCTGACTCCGGGGACCCTGGGGAGGGGAGAGCTGGTTTTCCACATCCTTACACAGGAGGACCCTAAGAGAGGAGACAAGTGTTGGGGGGTACTATTGGGGACAGAGGCTGAGGTGCCAGCTCTGTCTCCATCCCCTGCAGCAGTTCCTCCCCAGATTCAGGACCCACCTGCCCCTCTGGCCAAACAGGAGGAAGAGGATGCAGAAGACGATGCAGGTGACTCCGATGTGGATGCCGATGACAATGCCTGTGGTGGATGTATGGTTGGTGACATCTTCCTTCCGGCAGTCACATGGGGGACTCAAGGCTAGAGGGCAGGGCAGGTTGGGGCACAGCTTGCCTGGCCTGAAGCAAGACTCCCCAGCCTTCTTCCTCTGCTTGACCCCTTTAACCTTTCCTTCAGGACCCCAGCTCAATCTTTCAGCTCTTTCTCTAAGTTCTAAGTACCGGGTTCTGTGTCAGGTACCAAGACTTGTGCTGTTTATTTTGAGACAGGGTTTCCCGTAGCCCAGGCTGACTTCAGACTTGCTATGTAGCTGAGGATGGCCTTGAACTCCTCATCCTCCAGCTTCTACCTCCTGAGTGCTGTGATTACAGATGCTATGCCTGGTTCTACGGCACTGGGGATGGAACCCAGGGCTTTGTAGATGCTAGGCAAGCACTCTATCAGCTGAGCTGTATTCTCAGCCAGGACCAGCTGTACCTTGTTTTGTTTTTATGGACTGTTTCATCCTTGCCATAGTTTTACAAAGTAGGAACCATTAACCCTGTTTCATAATGGGAAATAAAATAAAATAAATGAATAAATAAATAAAATAAAGCTTGAAAGAAGTTAAGCCCAAGGTCACACATGCATGCAGCTGCAAAACCGCACAGTTAAGCTTTATGCTTGTGTCTAAGCTGTGTGCATGAGGGCTGCAAACAACGGCCTCCCTCCTACCTAGCCTTTTTGCCACCCATCCCCCCCTTTAGGTCAGGCTGCCTCCCATGTCCTATCCTTAGCCCTCACCTGTCCTCTCAGAGGCTCCCTTCAAAGACACGAAGCGGACGGTGGCGTTCCCGTCTCCATGCTGGTTGAAGGCGAGGAGTTTCACCTCATACACGGTGCTGGGGTCTGCAGGAAGCAGGGCTACTCAGCAACTTCCCCTTCCCAGCCAGGCAGCTTTGTTCTGGAAGGGAAGGGACACCACCCCTGGCACCCACCGTCATGCCTTGCCCAGCCCCTCACCCTGCAGGTCTCACCAAGCTGGCTGAGGTTGTAAGAGGAGACAGTCCCAGGGAGCATGATGGGGCCGGTGAAGGAGGCTGCGCTGACCGGGCGGTAGAACAGCTTGAAGCCCCCATTGTGTTGGACCAGCCGTGGCCAAGGCTTCCACAGCAGTTGCAGAGAGGAGCTGCCCAGCAACCGCACCGATAGCGGGGGCGGGAGGGGGGCTAGAGGGCCAAGATGTGAGCAGTCAGTTGGAGCTCTAGCTTTCCTCCTGTGACCTAGAACCCAAGGCCCTGACAGCCTTCTCTTAACCTGAGGCACAGGGCATGGCCTGACTCAGGCAGCGTCTGAATTAGAAAAGGCTGCTCCTTCCCCGGCACAGCTAGTCCCTGCTTAGCCTCAGGACCAGTACCAGGTGCTCCAATAGCTGGAGCATCTAGGGTTTCGCATCCCATTCTCCTTACCTTCACCCAGGGTGCTGGCCAGGGTGGGGACAGAGGCTAAACTGGCCCCCCTTGGTGTGTAGGCCTTGATGTAGAAGCTGTAGGCCGTGGAGGGTTCGAGATCTCTGACCAGGTGCTGGAAGGTGCTCTTGCTAACGGCTTCCTGATACTCCAGCTTGGGTGAGTCTGGGAGGCAAAGGAAGCCCCAGGGAGTGTTAAGGGATGGGAGGGCATCTTGGAAGCTTTGGTGAAATGAGGTGGTCAGGGAGCCGGGTGTAGAACGAAAGGAAGGTGTTGGGTCAGGTTATGTGTGGTTCGGGGGTTAGCTACAGTTAGGGTGGGTGACAGAGCTGTCCTGATGGCCACTACCCACCAGCAGCCTTCCTGATGTGCAAGACGTAGCCAATGATCTCCTTGGTGTGGGCTAGAGGCTCACTCCAAGACACTTGAACCTCAGTGGAGGACACAGAGACAGCGCGAACATTGCGTGGGGGGCCTGGCAACCCCTCAGCCCACAGCACGGTCAGCCTGGCGCTGGCTTGGGATGAACCAGCAATGTTCTCAGCCACACATTGGTAGATGGCCTCATCTTCAGGACCAACTCCAGAGATGCTCAGTGTGCTGCAGGAAGAGGGAGAGCCTCAGAGGTCGGCCACATCTCCCAGCTGAGAGATGGAAAGACTGAGCCCCGGCTTGTCTGAGCAAGATTTATTGGCACAAGGGTGGGAGGTCCAAGACATGAGCCCCACGTCCCAGAATCCCATCCCTGTATCCCTGGGATCCCATCCCATCTCCCCTGGCTAGAGGGACATGCTTATATTTGAACTGCTGACTTCAGACACTGTTTCTTCCTATGATAGTACCCCAACACAGCACACACATGTGCATGCACACATGTACACGCACACACACACACGCACACACATGCACACACATGTACATGCATGCATGTACACACATACATGTACATACATGCATGCACACACACATACATGTACACACACACACACACCTGTTGTTGTTCTTGAGCCTGACGTGACCTCCTGGCCCCAGCACTTGTCCATTCTTCAACCATGTGACATGAGGGGGTGGTTCACCTTGAGCTTGGCAGGTGAACATGGCCGTGGTTCCAGCCGGCCTGGAGATGGACTGGGGATGCTGGACAAACTCTGCTGGGGCTGAGTGGGCACAGAGAAGCATGGAGTCAAAGGGACAGCCACAAATGGAGGGGTGAGGAGGAAGGGTTAATGGGTCAGAGAAGAGGCCAGGAATGGCTCCCTCTCATCTTCCTTCACCCCAGCATCTAGGAATAGGATTCCATCTTAAGGACTATTTAAAAAAAGCCTGACATCTGTATCCGAAAGCAATCAAGCTGAGCTCCCTGCTCAGGAAATTGTTAAGTAAATAAATGTGCTAATAGGGCTGACTGCACCTCCAAGGCTGTAATGACAGGAGATGGATGAGCCCCCCTTCACCACCCAATCCCACTTCCCTCCAATCCCCAGCCTCAAGCCTCTATTAACACCCAAGAATGGAATACTCCATCACTTTCATGCGGACAGATTAACAGCACATAGCAAGCTAAACAAACGGCGTTTAAGTTCCTGATTCCCCACTTCCCATCTCCATTCCCGTGCCACGGAGGAGAGACAGCCAGGGAAAAGCCCTGGAAATGGGGACTGAGGCTGGCTGCGGGGTGGGGGGGCACATCCCGAGAGCTAGGTGGGAGCTGCCATCTGAGAGGGAGCTGGCAGGCACACTGGAGCGCACAGCAGGCAGGTGTGAGTGTGGAAGAGCCACATGTGTGAATGAAACGGCTCCCCTGGTGAGCCAGGGGAATGACCTGCTGATGTCAGAAGGTGGCAGTGCTTCCCAGGGTGAAGGGGTGGCACCAACATGTGCAGGGCACATAGGTTGTAAGTCAGAGAAAGCCACGCCCCTCTGGCGCTAGGACTGTGTTCTGGGGAAGACCTGTGTCTCTGACCTGGTCAGAGGGGGGAGGGGCGGGGCTAGGGTGAGGCTAAGCAGTGGCAATAATAGGAGGTCCTGATCTCTGGAACAGACCAGAGGTGCTGAGGGGTCCTGGGAAGCAGGGGTTTGGCTGCTCTGTACCTTGAACCACCAGTCGGCCCTGGGCTGTCCTCCTCACCCGAGTGCCAGGCCTGTTGGCCGCACAGACATAGACACCTGAGTGCTGGACGGTCACATCTGAGATGATGAGGTTTCCTGTGCCCAGCACCTGGATGCCCTCCACCCCAATGGGGCGACCATCTGCAATGGAAGTGGAGAGGAATGAGCGGCGACGGGAGTGTGGACAATGGGAAAGATGAGAACATTCCAGAAGCCTCACCCCTTTACTAGTCTTCCAGAAAAGCCCCAACCCATGGCTTTGGCGCCATCCCTCCACAGAAGTTCGGAAGTGGCAGAGAAATGCATGGCACTTGAGTCCAGCAGCGGGGCCAGCATCCTGACTCCAGCATGACTGCTTAGCTGCTTTTGCTGTTATTGTTTGTTTGGTTTTTACCCAGCCTCTCACTGCACAGCCTAGGGTGGCATCCTCCCGCTTCAGCACCTACGGGCTTCTAGTCCCTTCTCCTTGAATCCATAGAGGACTTGAATTTGATTGGCAGTTGTAAACTCCATGGCTGAATATCCATTCTAGTCCAGGCTGCCGAGGCACAGACAGGGCCCTGAATATAAAGGCTCTGAGAAGTCCCTTAGTAAAGAGCCTTGGTTAACTCTGTTTCCCACACTTGTTAGGCCCCTGAGCCATTCTTTCTCTCCTGCTAGGCCGTACTTTGGGAAATGACGGAGCAGATGGATCCTGGAGTGCCTAGCGGCTCCTGATGGTAGCCTACCCTTTCCAGTTTCTCCCTGGGACCCCAGCCCTCCCCCCACCCCAGGGATCAGATTAGCACAGCCAGAACACAAGGAGACAGCTCCCCATTCAGGCCCTGAAGTGGTGAAATCTACTCCATTATCCCACAGGGCCCCTCCTTCCCCCATCACTCAGCTGCTAGTGTGGCATAGTCTCCTGGTGAATGCGGGCCCCACCCCACCCCTCTGGAGGCTCCTTCCCCCAGTGACCTTTCGGCTTAGACTAGTGGCCCATCTGCACCCTTTCACGGCTTTCTTCTGTCGCCTGCGAGTTCTGGCTGGGGCGACCTGGGAGCAGGCAAGCCTGGGAGTGGGATGCTTGCTAAGATTTTGAAGGCTTAGGATTGCATAGCTGGGGGTGTGGCCTGGGCATGGAGGGTGGGGTGGGAGGGATTGGGTGCTAAGGGCTGCAGAGCTCTGGGGCTGGAGAGACACTGAGGGAGAACTGTCTCTACTCGGTAACCCAGGGAACTAAGCCAGCTCCGCAGGGAGGGAGAGAATGCGGGAGCAGCAGGCTGACCTCCAGAGGAGCTCAGCCCCTCCCCAGGCCACGGGGAGGAGACTGACCCTTGTGGAGAACAAACACAATTTTAAAGTCCCCCAGAGCTGGGTGATGAGACCATGACACCAGCCCTCCCAGGGGGTAGACTGGCCAGAGAGCTGGGGCTATGGGTAAAGCTCACCCAGGCGGCTCCAGGACACAATGGGGCGCGGGTTGCCCGTGGCGACACACTCCAGCACCGCAGTCTGGTGCACTGTCAGGGTGAGGTTCTCAGGCCCCACCAGGATGGTGGGCTCCTTGTAGACCCCAGAACCTGAGCCTGAGGGGAGAAGACCACATTTCCTTAACACAGTGGGAAGCTTTTCCACTTCCTCACTCCCACTCATGACCCTGGAGACACACACACCAGCCCCCAAACAAGTTCTGAAGACAAGGAGATGTTGGGGGAACATCAGGGTCCTGACAACCATCCTTCCCCCACCAGCTAGGCCTCCAGCACTGGGAGAACCCAGGGATCATTGGGAAGAGGAGAGGGCTAGAGAGCAGCCTCAACTGCCAACTGAGTGTGTCTGGGAGTAGACCAACTCGGGTGACAGACCTGGACCGAAGGAGCTCACCTGACACAGTAAGCCTGGCCCCGTGGCTGACCCGTACGCTGGCAATGTTTGAGGCCACACAGTGGAAGACACCGCTGTCTTCAGCCCGAAGTCCTGTTATCTGCAAGACCCCCTTGGGCAGTAATGTGTACCTGTTAGGGGAGGGCACAGAGACAACCTCAAACCATGGCGACATAAACCAAGATGTGGGCACTATAACCCAGCCATACGGCTGTGATCACAGACACTCAATGGGACCCTCCCCAGTGGATACACCCTCCTAATCTTGATAATAACCACACACGACCCTCACACACACTTTCTTAAGCCTAGAATCTGGGTCCAGTAAGCCATGTGGACCCCCAATTTTGACTGCAGCTTGCATAAGGAGCACTGTTCCAGGCTATAGGCTCTGTAGCACACACGAGGCTGCCCCAGTCTTCATCCAGATTCAGTACCTCCATCAGCCTCTCTGTCCTTCCCACCAGAGACTCACCTCTCATCGTCCGTGTCAATGGGGACTCTGTTCTTCTCCCACGTGATCAGGGGCTTGGGAAGCCCATGGATTTGGCACTGGAAGCGGGCTACACCACCCTCCTCACCCATGGTGGCCTGGGGGTGCACGTGGAAATCTGACATGGCTGGGGAAACAGAAGAGGGGGGCAGATAAGGTGCACTGTGGAGGTGCAGAGGAAGTGATGAGGGGTCACCCACTGAGGTGCAGTCTGTTTGAGGCTTAAGACACATACCAGCCCTCCCCTCAGCCTTCTCTACCATGGGGAGGCACACTCGGATCCCAGAGATGACATAATGTTTAAGAGACCTAGAGAGAAGACACTGAGACAAGACATTGTCGTATGCAAAGTTCACAACTGAGAACCATGCAATCTAGTTACCCAAAAAGGCAGAAAAAAGAAAACAAAAGAAAGAAAAAAATTCATAATATTTTAAATACATTTACAACATTGCTCTGGACTGAATTTATGGCCTCCCTTGGCTTGTAGGGTGAACATGCCTGGAAGACCAACTCCAGAATGAAGAAGCTTACTGGGCAGTGGTGCACGCCTTTAATCCCAACACTTGGGAGGCAGAGGCAGGCAGATCTCTGTGAGTTCGAGGCCAGCCAGATCTACATACAGAGTAAGTTCCAGAACAACCTGCTACACAGAGAAACCCTGTTTTTTTAAATAAAAACAAACAAACAAACAAAAAAACAAAAAAAAAACAGAATAGAGTGATAAAACTCCAAGGAGGTATGTGCGGGCTGTGGAGGCTTTTCCGGGAGGAAAGGGTCTCCTGGACCTCATTTGTGAAAGTCACCTAGAGAAAGCACTTCTCCCAAACTGGCTACTGTCTTTTTATCTTCCGTTACCTGAGTAGTATGTGCCACATTCTACAGAACTGGAAACTGAGGCCCAGAGAGTGAACTGGTTCATCACTGTAGGGACACTGTCAATAGTAGCTTGGCCAGTCTCTTCCCTACTAGGGCCCAGTGGCTTTCTATCCTTTCCTTCCCTGTCCTCTCCCCCCCCCCCCCACATGCAGTTCTGCAGTTTCTACAAGCGCCCCAAGAGGGTAGTGTATCCATGCAAGGTGACAGGCCTCTCAGAAGACTGTCAAACCTACCAATCTACATTTCAATGTGTCATAAATATTCAAGGACCCCCTCCCCACCTTTTGGGGATCAGATTCACACTTAAACTCTGATCTACAGAGGGGGCCATGGTGCCCCCTTGTACCCCCAGCTGGTTAAGTGTTCCTCCCACCCTGCTCCCACCCTGGCTCAGGCCCCACACTGCAAACCTGGGGAAAGGCCCCTCCCATACAAGCTCCCAGCTTCAGCACCCGGACTGAGATTTCATTAAAATCCACTTTGCTTCAAGTGCAGGAAGGCGGTACACCATCTGTCCAAGCTGCGGCCCCTCCCCTCTGGCACTCCATCAATTGGGGCAGTGGCTCCCTCCCTCCCAGAAGGACCCCCCCCCCCAGCAGCAGAGACTCTGGAGCTTGTTGCAGGCTGTCCCTGCTCTAGGCTCCCTGGCATGCCTGGACAGCCCTCCTCATGGTTCCTACGTCCTCTCTCAGGCTCCCTCAATCCACAGTCCTGCTCTGGACTCCACGGCAGCTCAGCAGCTTGCAAGGATGAGGACAAGCCTTTGTGCCTTCCTCGAGAGTCTCTAGGGGCTGGCTCCTTTGTGGCCATTCTCCATCTCATTTGCATGTGGTTCATTAAATATAAACATGCATAAAAATCCCCTGCCCAGCCTCCTCCTCGCTGATGGCCTCCTGGGAGTGTGGTGGATGGGTGTGCACAGCTTCTTGTACATGTGTTCCGGGCTGAGTGTTTGCTGGGAAGCCTGGCTCTGTCTCCTGTATCTGGCCTGACTGTCCCCGTCTGGACAACTGTAGGGGTTTGATCTGCCAGCTACTGTGGCCGGTATGTGTTTCTGGTGTTGTGTTGGTGATCAATCACGAGTGTCACCCTGTGGGTAAAGCTCTTGTGGACAGGACTTTGGAGCCTGGGTTGAGAGGGAAAGGCAAGCGGTCCAGCTGGGGCCCCCATCAGGCTGGATGAGAGGATCCCCAGGGAGCATCCAGAGGTCAGCCTGCCCTGCCTCAGGCCAAAGGCTGTCCTTGGCCAAAGGCCTGTAGGTCAACCCAGGGGCTCAGGAGTGGAGGTTGAAAAGTCTCTGGGGTCCTGTCTAGCTCAACCTCCAGGAAGATAAGGCTGGAGATAGACCTTGGGGGTGGGGGAATGAGTACCCAGGCTCCCTCACCCAGACCCTGCCTAAATAGGAGCTGGTGTCCTCTTCTCTCGCTGGAGAGGAGCTGTATCTCCCTAGGCCCCCATCCCCACAGATGCTTCCTCATTACTGAATCAAGTCTTTTGTGCCTTTAGGCCCCAGGCTGGACTCCCTGGAGGCCCTAGAACTGGTCAGAGGAGAGACAGAAGCTGCTGCTTTTCAGATCTGGGTGCTGGAATGGCAGAGTCTGGTCTTTATGGGGCAGGCCTCCCTCAAATCCCCAACCTTAGAAGGACACTATCAGCACAGAGAGACTGAGTATGAAGATGGTGGGAAGGGATACCAGTGCTGGAAGTGGGTGGCAAGGAATCAGTCCTCACCCCAGTAGAGTCACTGGACCCCTAGAGGTTCCCTGGGGCCCACCTAGCCCTCACTACCTTCATTGGAAGGGATGTGGTGGAGCCTGTGTGTTGTCTTACTGGCACACTTATTCTGAAAGGTTGCTTTGCCTGTACAAAAATGCTTGAAACCCATTTTGAACTGAATCCTTTTGTCTTATAAAAGGAGTACTGAAGCCCAGGCCTTCTGCAGAGGTGTTCCTTACTACCCTAGCCAGTTTTTCTCTCTCTCCAAGGCCAGGAACCCCTGCAGCAGACTGTACATTAAACCAGGCTCCTCCTCCTTTTTTCCTCTCCCTCTTATTCTTCTTCCTCCTCTTCTTCCTCTTCTTCTTAAAGATATTATTTTGGCTGGGTGGTGGTGGCACACGCCTTTAATCCCAGCACTTGGGGGCAGAGGCAACTGGATCACTGTGACTTTGAGGTCAGTCTGGTCTACAGAGGGAGTTCCAGAACAGCCATGGGCTACAAAGTGAAACCCTGTCTCAAGAAAACAAACAAAATATATATTATTTATTTATTCTAATTTTATGTGTATGGGTATTTTGCCTGCATCTATGTTCCTCAAATAGACCAGAAGAGGGAGTCAGATCCCCTGGAACTGGAGTTACAGAGAGTTATGAGCTGCCATGTGGGTGCTGGGAAGTGAACCTGGGTCCTCTGGAAGAGCCTCCGGTGCTCTCAACTGGACCATCTCTCCAGCCTGGTCAGCTTTTTCTTACTGGCTGGAGGGAAGGTCATGAGCACAGATAGAGTTGGCTCTTCAGCTTCACATGGGGAGTCCAGCAGGCTATCAAGTGTGCTCTTCTCACCAAGCCTCTTGCTTCCCTCACCTCTTCCTGGCCTTCACTTACTCTTTGGTCAGCCTGGGGCTTGCTGAGTGACCTAGTTTACGCACCATACATGGAAGGTATGTATGTTCCCTCAGGACCCTCAAATTCTGCACTAACTCCTACCACAGTCTCCAGGTCAGAGAGCTTACCCAGCTTAGCTGGAGTCCCAGAACTTTCAAGGCACTCATGGCTCTTAAATAGACTTTAGGTTCCTCTTGTATCAGGGCAAAACATATTTGGTTCATAAGTCTTGTGTATTGTTTGTTTGTTGTGGGATATTTGTACATGGTGTGAAGATACATTGCTGTGATTGGTTTAATAAAGAGCTGGATGGCCAATAGCCAGGCAGGAGGTATAGGCAGGACTTCCGGGCAGAGAGAGAGGAAGTAGGAGATGAATCTAGACCTGCAAGGGATGCCAGGAGACAGGGAGAAGAAATAGGAAGAGCAAGGTGGAAGAGAGATGATGCCACATGACAGAAAGCAGATTAATTAAATGGGTTAATTAAATTATAAGAGCTAGATAGGAACAAGCCTAAGCTATAGGCTGAGTTTTCATAATTAATAAAAAGTCTCCATGTCATTATTTGGGAGCTGGCTGGAGGGACAGAGAAAGACTTGTTACATCCAAACAGGCTTTTGGGCTCCTCTAGTGTCAGGGTAGAGCATATTTGGTTTACAAGTCATGTGTGTGTGTGTGTGTGTGTGTGTGTGTGTTGTTTGTTTGTTCTGTTTTGTTCTTTTTTTTTTAAGACAAAGTTTTGCTATGTAGCCCAGGTCGACCTCAAACTCAATGTAATCTTCTTTCTGAGGTCTCCCAGCTGTTGGTATGAGCTACCACACCCCCACAGAAACCTGTTCTTAGCCAGGTGTGGTAGCGTACATCTGTCATCCGGGTATTCAGGAGGCTGAGGCAGGATGATCATGAATTCAAGAACAGCTTGAGCTACACAGTGGGACTTTGAATCAAAAATGAAAATAAGGTCTCCTCACGTCTGGGCTTGAGACAGCACTTCTGGGTTCCTGGGTACTTTTATGTTATTATCTGTCTGGGGAAAGGGTTCCTGGGCACACATGGAACATTGGGCTGCCAGTGGGGCCTCTGAGTTCCCCGAAGAAGTCATCACAGAGGCCACGGTGTGGTTGATAACTGTGACCTGCATTAGCTACTACCCATTACCCAGTCCTGTGGCCCCACAGTTGGCGCGTTCACTTCTGCACTCTGGTCCTCTGAGGACAGTTCTGGGTTCTTCCCTTCGCTGGGTGACAGAAGAGGTAAGGAAGTAGGTGGGAGCCTGCCAGGTGTGAGGGCCAAAAGGAAGCAACAGGGGAAAGGAGATAGCAAGCACCCTATCCCTGTGCACTTGTGAAAGGGTCTTCCGGCTCCCCTGTGACCCAGTCACCATGGACACAGCAGGTTAAGGCAGAGGCAAGAGGGGCTGAAAGTAAGGTCAGCAATCCTAGGTTGGAAGGGAATAGAAATGACAGGAAATGGTCCTGGACACCCCTATAAATCACCCAGAGGGACAGGATCTCCTGAGAACCAGATCTACAGCAGCTCTGAGAGGGGAACTTATTACCTGGTCCAGGGCCTTTGCAGAGGTCAGGCCTGGATTTGATTAGCCAGGCTCCAGGGACATGGGGGGCAGTGAAAAGTCAAGACGGAG